ATTGGATACGAGAGGAATTCGATGGTTTAGTGGAGCTCTCAACTCATAATAACCCATAACCCATAGCTTAACTCTGTAAGTCCAAATAGGTCTTATTATAGTCATGTATATGAATCTTTTGTAATTAATTGGAAGTTTAGAGCATTTGTCAAGTAAGTGTTGAAGTAATCGGAAACGTCGAGCGATTTCTTGTTGTTTCAGTCTAGTAGGAAGTCAAGAACTTTTAAGCATACAACTTAAAGCGATGAGTATGTTTTGTACTTTACCATTTATACCATATGCAAAAACAGCAAAAATAAATTCATGCAATAAAAAATTATCTATAATATCATCTTATATAAATTAGCTTTACAGACTATGCAGATATTTTGCCGCCATAAGAGGCCTGATCCATTCCTCCCTATCTTGGGCTATTTCTTGCCATTTATCTACAAGCAGCTCTATTGCATCTATCATTTGTCTTCTATTGAGGCCTTCATAGTTACGTAAAGGCTTCCAGAGGGATCGCGACGAGCTACATACATACATGCCATCTCATATACATTCTAAAATATAAAGCTAAAGATTTCGTCTGTTAACAATAATTAGAATAACAATCAGTGTGATTTAGAAAATTATTTCTGCGTTAGATTGGCAGTTTTATTAGAAATTCTTTTAATTTGATATCACTATCTTAGACCCAAATGAACGGAACATTAAATTCAATCAATTTGGATAACTGGAGGCAATTACTTTAACACATCTTCCCATATCATTTTCAGTCTCTATAATTGTGGCAAAAAGACAAATATTTTAGCATTTCGGAGGCTATTTAGGAGGTGTCAATCATAAAGAAATAACTAGAAGTAATTAAAATTACACTAAAATGTATGTAGTATTTTTTTCAGTAAATATTATAAATGAATAAAAACTCTATATTATTTAAAGCAATTAGTAAAGACATTTTTTTTTATAAAAACATTACGTTTCAAGACTGATTGAAGTTTATGAAAAAAGTTTTAGAACAATGTAAAATTATATAATAAATGAATGGCATCAGTTGTATTAAATGCGCCGCGTTCAAATGTTGTGATGCTAACCAGCAACACTCCAAAGCTTCTTGGGCTATTATCAGGTGTTTTCTATCTGTCAATTTAAATTATTCAAAATTATAAATATTATTAGTCATAGTTCATTATTATGTAATTAGATATAAAGCATTTTCAATATTTGAATTTAATAATGTTATTCCTAGAATTATTATACAGGGTATTATAACTAAGTTTTGTATCGATAGTTCGAAATAAATGATTTAATTTCATTTGTTTTTCTGTTTGGATTAATTATCTCTACACCCAAATTTATAATGGGCAACATATAGTTGATTGTCGGAAATAAAATCTTCATCTCTTAAATTGACTCCAATATTATTGAATGTGTGTCCCCGGTTCTATAACCGCGACTGGAAATAATATGAGAAGCTAACTTAAATTAATTATCATCAGTTTTCCAAATTGATTAAATTTTATGATTATCTTCTTCTTATAATTCTTTATTGATTATCAATTTATAAGTCTTAGATGTTGATATAATGTTTAAAGAATTTCTTGTCTAGTTCAGAGAGAATTTTCTAAATCATTCTGATGGTTATTAGAATTAGATTTTTCCGAACAAACAAGATCTATAACTTTAAACCTTAGAATATATATAAGATGGTATTATTTTTAATTATATTTTCAATCAGAATTTAGTAGGTAGCTACTTTCTTATTGCTTTTAAGTATACATATTTTTAAATTTTTTTTTAGGCACGAGGACCATAATAGATATTGTACATGTCATTGTACAAAACCTTCTCATTGCTATATATTGTATCCTTGAAAATAATAAACATTTATCCATCTATCTATCTATCATGATTTGGATTAACTTACTGAAGTTCTTTACTTTTAAATTTTAAAAATTTTATATTATAAATGGAAATTAATGAAGATAATTATGGATGATATTACATTACTGATTGGACAGTGATAGGAATGCATCAGACTAGAAGAAATTTATAGAGAAATAAACCGGTCTGGTTTCATTGTACAAACTGATGAATTCGACCATTTGAGTTGCACTAATATATGTTAAGTTAGAATATAGTGCAGGCTATGCGAGACGTCATAGTAGACCTATCAGAGATCTTTATAATATTCTATGTTAAATTTATTGTATAATTTTTCCTAATTGAAACATATCATTTTATTGGCTAGTAAAGGTACCCTTCTTGAAACGCATAAAGGTAGGGTTAGGGTTCCTCGCTGCTGAGGACATATTAGGCAGGGTCTGAAAAGAAGGGTGGAGGGTACGATCCTTCTGCCCTTAATGACAGAGACAAGGGTGCGTTCGCAAAGGGTCTTTGCCTAAACTGCGCCAAACTTATTTCTTTCCTACGAAAAGTGTATTATTCTGAATAAATAAATGAGCAATAATTTGTGGAAGAGAATCTCAAGGCGAAAAAAATACAATAGCTATTGTTAGGATCATTGAAAAATTCAGAAGCCTTGAGTCCGTCAAATAACATTAAATAACCAGTCAGCTATTAACAACAATGCAAATATCAACCGGACCAAAAACATAAAATCACATAAATGAAAACCAGAAATAATCTCAGATCAAAAGATAAAAATAATAAAATTAAATATATCACACATAAACAGTTCTCCTTTAGGATCTTTCCATAAATGGACGTTTATACCAGGATATGTAAAATTTTTCAATAATTCATGTTTTTCTTTGTAATTCTAAATTCACATGAATTTTTTTGAAAACGATGTCAAGGGACTTCACTGCCACTGAGACATAAACACTACCTAGTGAAGAAATAAACTAACCATCATTTTACAAAATATATACAAAATAAGAGACAAGGGGATTTGTTAATATTTTATTCAAGTTTTTTTTTACTTTTTTGAATAAACTTACACGCAAGTAACATTTAATTAAAAATATATCTGCATAAATTTGAATTTAAAAATGTCTATATTTTAATATTGGCGGATCTTGATGATGTTTTTAGTATACCTATTGTTGCTCAACATTTTCTATCTAGTGAACCTACAGTTCCTCAACTTTGAAATTTGGCACACTTTTAGCTACCATATGCACGAATAACATATTTTTTTAAATAAAAACCAAAAGTGGAGTTTTTCAATATTTAAATATAAAGGTTTTGATTTTCTTGGAAGAATATTATATTATTAGCCTGACATATATTGTATTATATGACTATATTATATAGTCATGTCGTACATCAAAAGCAAGAGCAGAAACAACCGATAAACATGACACCGGTTTCAGCATTAGGGTTCAATAGTTCTTGAGAAAGAACCCCAAAATATATTTTTAAAACGCACCGTTTTATGAAGTTTTTATTATTAAAAAAAAAAAAATATAACTCAAAAGTCCAGAAATCTAAAATTTTGTATTTTTCTTTATATTAATGCATTCTACAAATAATAAAAAAAATCAAAATCCAAGACTCTCTGGGCCAAACGCTTGTTGATTTGACATGGAATGACCCTTTTATTACTATATTCAATATTCTTAAAATACGATATAACATAAAGTGAATGTTGAGTTATTGATTTAAATATCCTCGGCATTTGGAGTGTTCAGTTGAAAGTTTATATATATATATATATATATTATATTGCTTGTTCAATATTTCCATATTTGTTATTACAGTAAGATAATAAATTATTTTAACAATGGTTCACCAAGCTATATCATGGAGGGTTGAGAAAACTCGTCTGTTATTTAAGTGATGTGTCAGAGAATGAGTTGCTGTAAGTTCCCTCTCTTGAGGAACTACTTGAAGGTGTTCCTCCAAGCAAGTTTGGTATTTAATGAAGTAACATTCAGTTGTATGAAGTATTAGGCGGTATTTCTGCGGTTTCAGAAACAATTACAATAAGTACTGTAATGTTTGTTCTGATGCTGAAAAACTAATCGTATAGGTTTCCTATGATTACATTTCTGTTTTTGATTTCTTTTAAATTCAGTTCTCATTTTTAATATAAGGCTTTTTATTCCTTAATTATTTTTGAGTGTTATGTAACCAAGCTGAATTTACTCAGTTTTGAGTTCGACCACGATTAGTCGGCAGCATTGAAACTCACATTCTGTTTTCCCCAACTCTCCGGTATTACTTACAAAATATTTACAAATGTATAGGCATATCGACAATGATATCATAATCTCATAGTTTGTGTATATGTAACTGTTATGAAAATACGAAATGTTTGTTACAAGTTAGTGCCACATTTAACTCCAACTAGGGTTGTTGCGAAATCGTACAATTTCCGATATATAAAATATTCTTTATTGAAATCAATATCAGTCTTTGATACCGATATTTGTATGATATCTATGACAAAATAAAATTTTTGTGATCCTTAACAAATACATCCCCGGTTTATTTAGCAATACGTCATTTAAGTGATTTCTCATAACCTTAAATCGCCAAGAACTTTGTTGAATTTCTTCTTTTGTGAAAAATGTGCGATTGTAGTAATTTTATTCAACATATAACAGGATATGTTTAATTTTAATGGATTTACTGTGTTTTTATCGATAAATGAGATCAAAATTAACAAAAATATTATTTAAATTCAGCTCTATCAAAAATGTACTTAGTACTTATGGTGATGACGACATAAATTTTTTTTTTTTTCAAATGATTGTAAATCTGTTTTATAATATATGGATATACTGAAGTGTATGAATTTGAATGCTTTAAGAAATTTTTATATATTTTTATTCGATTATTCTTTATTTTTTCAACAATAAATTGATTTAAGTTTATGATGGGACAAAAAGTAATATCGAAATTTGATAAAAACGTTATTCTTTCAATGCTACGATCATATCGAATCCTTTGTATCGATACGCTATTGGGTGATATCGATTTTATCAGTGAGAATAATATTTTATTAGTTATTTAGTTGTTGTTTTTTTTTTGTCTTGATCGTAGGACTAAGCCATTCCATCATCTCTCGGATTCTGAATATGTTTTCGTCTTTTCTGTATCGAAGTTTATGTCGCTGACGAATTGATTGAAATCTACTTCTTCTTGCTCTCTGCTATTTGTCCTCAGTTTATGCCATCAATAGACCTCTACTGATAAAAATTCAATGGAAACAAAAACTTTTTTTACACAACCTTTGCCCAACATTAAATATTCTTTTGTTTTCCGATTTTTTTTTTTATGATGTTTTTGTAGTTGTGATTAAAATAATATCAATTGTTTTGATTTTGTTCATTCATTTTGTAAGTGAGTTCATTCTCAGCTCTACGTAAGTTCCCACTTCATCACTTTATGTTAAAATTATTTAAGTGATGTACGACATTTATTTTGTTTACTTTTAGGCTGTTATTGCTCTGTTTGGCCGACATTTATCGCATCTAGTTTGTACTGATAATGCCTGAATTGATGAAACGTTAAACGACTTAGTAGCAAAGTCTTCTCGTCACCAATCAGTCTTTTTTTAATTATTAAATATTTCATTTTATTAACAATTAGCAACTATATAACCAAAAAAAAAGAAGAAAATAAGCAGAAGAAAATATTAGGAAATCTCGTTTCTTATATTTTCTTCTGCCAACTCTAAAGTTAATTTTAATTTTGACAGAAAATTATAATTTTTTTTTTCAGTGACTGTTATATTGTTTAACCAAATATTTACTTTTCAGGTACCATTATTTCATGATCATTAAATATACACTGTTGATTTTGATTTTTTCTATTTATTATCTTTTTTAATTATCTAGGAGCTTAGTTCCCGAATTAAGATTTTTTTCTTTTCTGCTTTAATTGTGATTCTTCATTTACAATACCAGTTGGACTGACAACTTTCGGCAATGTGTTTATTTTATAATTATTATTTGTTTTTTATCATTACTTCTCTTATCTATTTAAAATAAGGACTAGTTCCTACATATATTGCTATTTAGCAATCTGGCATTTTTATTTTCTTAAACCCCACCTTCAAAAATTTACTTTTCTTGTTTTTAAATAGAAATACATATCTATGTCGTCTTGACAATGTAATATAGATCCATAACATACGTTTTTTTCCCCTAAACTAAAGTACCACTTATGCTTGTGAAGCGTGATGTTACGCTTTATATCTAAGATGATAAAAAAAGGTAGGAATGTTCTTATACTGAGAAAAGACTATTTTTTTATTTATTATTGTTTCTGTCTCAGATTTTCATAATTATAATCTTTTACGGTGTATATATTTTACATAAATAACGATTGAAATCATTAGTTAGTCAATTTTTTTTAAAATATATTTCAGCCCGTTTTACAGCCCATTTTTTAAATTGAATTATTAAAACGGCTGAAATTCGACTAAAAAATCGCTACATTTTATCATAAGTTACAATTTTTAATTAATGGATATTCTCAGAAATATGGCGTTGTGTCAATCTGGAGCGTATATGCAAATATGCAAATTAGATATGCAAATTTAATGAAATACCAAAAACTCAAGGACACAAATTTGCTTTTATCCTGAATCGTATGATAATTTAATCACATAAACGAGAAAAAACGTGTCCTACAAAAGATTGGAACGTTTGGGATGACCTACATCCCCAACATGTCAAAAAACCAGATGTTATATAGGCCAAGTCACCTATTTAATTTGTAGGCCATTTTTTTTTTTCTTGAGTTCGTGACCAATTTATTTTACTATTCAAATGGAAAGCAAATGTATATTCTTGAGTTCTTAAAACCTCATTAAATTATTTTAATAAGAAAACGGCCTATTTCTGAAAATTTTGGTAAATAAAAAAAAAAGTAGGTTGGGATAAGATAAAACCCCTCACGAATTATTAGGTGAATCATAATTTCTTTAAAAGGTGTCTGTACCGCGGAATATTTTTTTTTATTTTTTTATTTCTTAATGATATTTAAAACTGCATTAAATAAATACATCTAGTAAATTTGAACATACGGATATAATGACATGAAAACACTTGCTGAGTAACTACCCAATGGTAGCACTCTAATAATATGTCGACATTAGGAGATCACGGGGCCATCTTTTTTTCAGACGCCTCGTAGGGTTACCAGGAATTGAAGAGGAAGCAAGGTTAGAAACGAGAGGGTTGGGATGATTCCGAAGATTATTATGGAAGAATAGGTATCTGGATTAGGCCAGATCTCAAACATAAGAAACATTAGGGTCATTATGGATGGTTTTATTTGTAAGAAAGTAGGGAGCATTGAGGATTTTACGAAGGATTTTAGACTGTTAATATTGGATACGAGAGGAATTCGATTGTTTAGTGGGGTCCCTTAGCTCAACTCCGTAAGTCCAAATATGCTTTATTGTAGTCATGTATATAAGTCTTTTGTAATTAATTGGAAGTTTAGAGCGTTTGTCTAGTGAGTGCTGAACTAATCGGAAACGTCGAGCGGGTTTCTTGTCGTTTCATTCTGGTATGAGGATTATAGAAGATTTAAAACAGTTTTCAGTATTCCGTCAATTTGTTTCGCAATTGGATCAATGTGTTTAGGTCTAGGATTTTAGGTCATCATCTTGTATTTTATAGACTCACCTTTCCTTTTTTTGGAAGTTCCTCTTACATATTATTTTTTATATATATTTATTTCCGTTGAGCATTACCTGTCGCTCGGTGAGGTCGAGGGAGGCGGCGATCTCTATCCTGCGGGGCCTGCAGAGGTACTTGTTGAAGTGGAACTCCTTCTCCAGTTCCAGGAGCTGGGTGTTGGTGTAGGCTGTGCGCAGACGCCGCGGCAGCCCGTTCTCTGTGGACATGAGCAGAGGTTAGAAGGCTTTCTCAGGCTCCGCCCCTGGGCCAGTGTATGTCTGGCTCTCTGGGCAGCTATTGTCAGGGATACTCTTATCTTATACATATATATATATATATATATATATATATATATATATATATATATATATATATATATATAGATATATATCTGTATACATAATAGTATCCCATAATAGTATTTAAAATATCAAAATATTTATTAATAGTGACAATATATTAATGACTTAATCTAAAAGTAACTTTTCATATAGGTCATATAAGCTCACTCACGTCTGATCTATAGATACCTCATGGCCCATCGCTGGCTATAAAACACGTTTTGACAGAATCCCGAACTTACGAAACACTTAGAATATCTTGTGACTTGCCAAACGACCTATATAAAATTTTACAAGACAATACGAATGTATTTGTTTAGTTTTTAGAATAACTTTTTCAGTTTCTGAAAAGTGGGAAACTGCACAGTAAAATTTAATCCTTAACGGAATTAGGCAATAATAGCCAAGCTGGTTGACGATTTTAAAATATATTAAAAAAATTAACTTTCCACGAAAAGCCAAGAATTGAAATTTTATAAAGATTTTTATATAACTGATATTAAAATATTTTTTGCTAGCCGACGTTTACTATAGTATTTACCATATAAAAATATTTATGTATAGTGAAAATAAATTAATGATTTAATCTAAAAGTAACTTTTCATTTAGATCATATAAGCGTATAGCTCATACACATATGACCTATGAATACGTCATGACCTCTATTCTTCGCGCGTCACTGGCTAAAAAACTGAATGCCGAACTTACGAATCACTTAGAAGACAATACAAATATTGTTGACAAACTCCTTCATTTTGTGAAACTTGCGAAACTGGGCAATAAAATTTAATCCTTAACGAAATTAGGCAATAACAGCCAAGCTGGTTGACGCTTTTAAAATATTTTTAAAAAAATAACTTTCCTCGACAAGCATCGAATTGAAATTTTATGAAGAGTTTTATATAAAGTAAAACAGATATTAGAGGTATTAAAATATTTTTTGCTAGCTGGCGTTTAATATAGTCTCAAGTTATTTGTCAAAGAAAGTTCTAAAAAATCACGCACCATAAGGACTATTATTTATTTGTACTTACAAATATATGTCTTCGATTTATTACCAATTGTTTGGGGAGGTTACATTGGATTCTCAATAATCAAGCTTAGACGAAATAACTTATATGACAAAAAACTCGGATTATCGAAAGTTTGTCGACTGTTCTACATATGTACTGTTGCCCAAATGCGAGACCGAGACGAGTCTTGGTCTTGCAAACTCAGTCTTGGTCTTGGTCTTGGTCTTGCGCAAGAGTCTCACAACAGTCTTGTAGTTACTTATTAGCTTATTAGTATAGATATATTACTGTAATTGTTTAGATAGAAGAAACCTAAGTAAGCCCGAATGAAAAATTAGAGGAGTTAAATCCGAAAATATATTGGTTACACCAATTATTAACATATAGTAATTAAGATTATCAAGTATTAGTAACTATTTTGCCTTAATTTTTATTTAAAAAATCGATTTGTTTTTACCAGTCCTGGTCTTGGTCTTGCAACAGTTAGGCGGTTTTGTTCTTGGTCTTGCAAAGTGCAAGGACCAAGACCGATTTTGGGCAACACTATACATATGAGTTTTCCAGTTGACATAATGACTAACTCCAATTTTAATTTTTTTATTATTAACTTTAGGAATATTTCTAGTATGAAAATGTATACCTTTATTCACAGTTCTATATTCCAACACTGCAATCACTCTGAAATCAACTTATTCAGTGTCTGTACAGATATTATAAATTATCCAACTATAAATAACACTGAAATGACTTTATTAAAATATGTCGAAGTCGGAGTTAGTCATTCTGTCAACTGAAAGGCTCATATCATGGTCGATAGCCAATTTTTGAGTTTTTTTATTGCTGACAATTCAATCCAAGCTTGTGGCTCAACATCAGAGCTAAAAAAAATTATTACACCACAGATGCAATTATAATGATAATAGTTAAGAGATAATAGTTAATAGCAATAGGTAATAATAATAATAAAAAAATAATAATTAATGTAGAACGAAGGGAATTTTCTCCAAATAGTAGTCCATTAGACACAATGAAAGAGAAATAAATTAAGTTTAAAAAATATTAATCGTATTTAAAAAAACTTTAGCCTTTTTTTATATCTTATATTGAAATATTTAAAAATAAATTTAATAAACGAACAATCTCAGTTCGTATTATATTTATATTCACAAAAGAGTTACTAAAAAAAGAAAATTGTGATGTACCACCTTTGAATAATTAAATAAAAAGTCATTGTTATTTCATGTTATACTACATAATATGTTATACTACATAGTTGGTATTTTATAAAACAACAATATAAAATAAACTAAGAAGTATTTATTTTTTTAAATCCCTTAAGAAAATTTCACCCATCTCATTTTAATGTCAATGAGCCAACGTACTGAAGGGAACCCACATAAATTTAATTAATGTTTTTTTTAAATAAAATGTAATAGGAAAAAATCAACTTATTTCACCGGCAAACACACGCACACGAACGTTATCTCTTTTGTTATTTTATACTCATACGAGCCATGAGTGATTTGAAATAACCGTGTAGCTCTTACAGGAACTCGGAGAAAATTGATAATAATTTTGTCCTTGCATGTCATTCTCTCAATTTTCTCAATCGGCTAACCACATCCTACGGATTCCGGTTTACATTGCAGTTTTATTCTATCGATTTGATTAATCTTCACATTTTTTTTTTAAATAAAATCAAATACTGTATTAATTGTACTTGTTAATTAGCAGTTTTAATTTATGACTAGTTCACAATTGTGAGCAAATGTGTTTGGTGATTTAAATCTAGCGAATAACTTAAAAGCTCTGGATAATTATTTATTAGTTACTTCCATGACAAAAAAAAATCGATTATAGAATCCAAGTTAAAAACAACTATAATAGAGAGAGATTGTGTCTTTTAAATAACAAAAAAAGGCTCATATTTAGTTTAAAAATTGCAATATCTCTGACAAACAACATTGATAAATTTTTTATTCTCAATTTCAGTTCTAAGAAATCGCTTATGGTCCGTTGATATAGTGGAGCCAATTGTGAAAGCATCTTGCATAATCAAGATCTGCGTGGTATTAATACAGCCTTCGAAGAGGACTTTTGATAGATGCCCCAATCACGTATTTCTTAATCTTTCTAAATGGGCTCTAAGAAACAATCTTCCAGTCTTTGAAGAAATAAATATTACCCTGAAACCGACGGTAATTCAAATCCATCAAAATGTTCATGACTCATACATATCTTTTATTTAGTTTTTAAAAAGTTGGAATACACAAAGAAAATGTTTACGAACTTAGCGAATTTATTATATAAATTTCCAAAGAGTTGCCGGTAATTTGACAATTCGCTACTTGATTACTCATTTTGTGGGTAAACCATTTATTCACAAGCGTATGAGAACTGCCTCTGAAAATTATTTTTAGATTCTCATGATCCACTATCCTTCACGGATGCGAAACATATACGCTTACATCGAGGCAAGAATAACAAGATTCAAGTGATATAGTTTCATAATGAATGAAATAGGGGTGTAGAATTGATGTTATTGATAAGAACAGAAACACTAAGAAAAAAATCATCACTGAATCAACGTCTAAGCTTCCAAGAAGGCCAGCAGAAACGTAAATGGGAGGATGATGTTAAGTCAGACCTTGTTGATTCGTCTATTCAGGCTTATTGGTGTTTTAGACCTGTTGGTTCCCTTAGACTTCTGTTTAGTTATTCAGAAAATGAAAATTTTGAAAAGTTAAATTTAGAACATTGGCCAATAAAAAGTCTCAAGGAAATAATTCATATCGAAGTTTCTATATCGACGTAATCTAATAAATCCTCTGATTAAAATTTATTTATATTTTTCACATGCAAACCCTCACAAAATATTTACCCATATATTAATTCCATCAAAGATACTCGAATGGGCGAAAGTAAATTTTACTTATTTATCTATAAAGAAATTTTAATAATCAAGAGTACTAAGCCTTTAATTATTTTTCTCCTTGTTTTTCTCATTGGCGAATTATTTATTTACCTTTTTGGTAATTTTGCCTAAAATAGATTGATATGAATCTGTTTTCAATTTATTTGCATATTCTTGATTTTTTGTCATTTTTATCGCTTCAAATACTTTACTTGTGAATTATTATTACCTTACAAATAATTTGAAAATCAAATAAGTATTGTGTGTCAACAGCATATTGTACCTGGAGAGTTTTTTTTAAATTCTCTTTCTGATATTTTTAATTTTTATAATCTTTGTGTATTGATATATCAACGTGTTTAAATACTGAACACTGTATACTTAATGTGATGAGATCAATTAGAATATATTTTTTGTAAATACTACTCCAGCATTTTTATTTCCTTCTCTTTCATCTTTTATATTATTGAATAAATAGGCAATTTAATTTGGGTTTTTCCCACTTTTAAATATTGTGCCGTGAATATTGATTTGATTAATGTTAAAATTATAACAAGAATCGCATTAAATATGAACAACCATAATGAAGTTGTTTATCATGAAGAAATCATGAATTGTTCATACCAGTGCTTCAAATGAATGGTATTAATGGTATAAGATTTTATTTTTCCGTTATGATTTTGTCATGATGATCGCCCCTTATATGATGTTTTTGAAAGAATTTGATAAACCGAGATAAACACAATGAAAGCAGAAGTATTGACCACAAAGACTAAACTTCAGGTTCAATGTACTAAGTTATGAATCAACTTATTATGTCCACGTCTGATAAACGAAGACAATGGGGTACTCTAAAAAGTTTATATTTCTTTGTAAATAATCTAAGATGGATTCATATGAATATGATAAGCAATAACTGAGTGGGGATATAAACAAAATCATCAAGTATACAAGCAGTA